ACGCGGCAGAAATGAGTGTTCTGCCAGAGGCGCGGTCTCGCAGCCGCGACGGCCGCGACCACTCCCATCGAGCCGAGGCAGAGCTCAATTTGCAATGCGAATGGCTGCTGACCATCTCGTTGGCGACGCACAAATTCAGGGCCGCGAGGTCCTTCGATTTCGAGTACTTCACAAAGAATGTGGTGGCGAGAGCAAGGCCGCGATCCGTCCTGCTGATCGCGGCCAGCAGCCCGCTCGCGAAAGTGCTTCGCGCGACTGTTTTGAGCGCTCCACACTGCCAGTCCAGTAAGTGGCACCTTTGCTCCCCAACTTGCGCCCGGTGTTTCGCCGTGTCTCAGACGCCCATGCGCAAGAAGGTGGCTCCTCGCAAGGCTCGGTCCGCGTTGGCGCCTTCCTCCTGCTCCCTTTCGGAATGCTGCATCACTGTGTATTTCGAATTTGCGCGCGCACTGCAGGGGTGAATGATGTATACGTAATGGTGTGGCATGTGCCCATCTCGCGAGTGCGGTGAGCCTCCGAATGTGGCCGCGCGTTGACGCCTCTGCGTGGCGCTGAAGTGCGACTGCGTAGACGAGCAGATCGACTCGGCCGATGGGCGTGAACGCCAGCGCTCCGAACAGGCTGAGGCGCAGATTGGCCACTCTCTCTGAAGCGAGCTCGGAGTTAGATTTGCCGACCAGCTCGGCGTTTCCCATTGGATCGCCAGGGTGCACTCGATCTGGCGGCCAGATTCTGGCCCAGTTCATATCCACCGGCGCGCGCGGGGGGTGGGGTAATGACGCGCCCCGCAGCACGTGCAAATACCTTCGCTGACATCCAGCCCACCTTTGCCGAAAGCATCCTCCAAGTATTGACTCCAGTTGGTCTTTCCTTGCGGTGATCTTGTAACCTTAATGCCGTCGACATGTTGGCGGCCAATAAAGCGAGACCGCCATCTTTGCGTTTGGCGATGAACTCGTCGTCGTAGTGTCAAGGCGGCTCGGCGCAGCAATTGGTTGCTCTCCGTTTTGCCGGCGTCGCCCCGCCCCCGTCACTCCGTCGGGGAGGGCGCCGCCTCCGTCACCGCTGCGAGGCGAAACACCCGGGGCTCCCAGGGCCCATCACCTCGGCCGCGCCGACGGCACCCTTCGTCGCCATCTCCCGTTTATGATGACTCGTCTTCGTCGCCCTCCGAGTCGGGCGCGCCGGGGCCCCTGCCCCAGTCGCAATCTTGATCGCCGTCGTCATCGCCTGGCGGGCCAGCGACGCGCAGTGCCTGCCACGCCTGGCTTGGGCTCGCCCTGCCCCCCCGCCCCCCTCGGAAGGCGCCGCCCCCGCGCGCGTCGCCGCCGCCGGGCCCCTTCGGGACGGGCAGATTATGGCGGGGAAAGAGGCGACTGGAGCCGCCTGAGCGCGCTCTGCTTTCTTTTCCTTCTTTGAGCGGCGCTATGCGCCCCTCCCCCCCCCCCCCCCCCGGCTTTCTCAATCTCTTCCGGGGCCTGCCTCTCGGCGGCGGCAGCAGCCTCCGCGCGCGCCCCGGAGCGCAGCTCCTGCCCCCGGGCCTTCGCCTCGGCGCGACCCCCCACGCCAAGCGCGGCCCCCGCGAGCGTCGCTCAGAGCCTCGAGTGATCGACCCTGGCGGAGTCCTTGAACGGAACGCCTTCAGTCGCCCGGGGGCGCCACCCGCTGCCCCCCGCTCGCCCGCGCGCCCCGATGCGCTCGCGACGCAATCGCGAGACGCCTCGGGCAGCGGCGGGCAGTCAGAGGGCCCCGCTGCAGGCGCGGATTAGGGGGCGATCCGTTCCTCGAGCTTCCTCCTCGATTCGCGTTCTTCCCCCCCTCTCTCCTGCCTTCTCTCCGCGCCCCAGCCCTCGCTGAATCCTCGACGCGGGCAACGCAATTCTTGCCAATCGCATCGCTGTGAACGCCGCAAAATGACCTCGTGCGCCGCGCGCAGTCATGGCCCGCAACGCTGCTGCATAAGAAACGCCACGGCCCACCCAGGCGCTGGGCTCGCGTCGCCGGCCCGGGCGCCCCTGCCCGCGGAGGAGCCGCGCTGGCCGCGGCGACCGTCGCCGCTCTGGGGTTCATCTGGGGAACTACTTGCTTCTCCAACTGGTGCCTCGCGTGAAATTCAGCCCGCCGCCAGCGCAGCTGCTCGCGCTGCGCCGCCCAATCTTCCATGGGCCGTGATGCTCATCTCGGCGCTCCGCGCCGCGATGTTCACCTCGTCGTTCGCCTGCTGCCCCATCGCCCCATCCGCCAAGCTCTCCCCAGTGCGTCGCGAACTTCAGCGGCGGCGCGAACGCAGTTCGCGCTTGCTGTTTGGGCAATGGCTCGCCCCTGCTGGCGAGCGCCGCTGACCTCACCCTGCGCCTGCCTCATCGCCGCTGCGCCCTCGGCCGACGCAGCCCCCGCGACAGCCTCGGCGCTCAGTCGATCTGCCGGGGCCCAATCAACCGCCGGCGCTGCATCCGCCCCGAGGAATGCGTTGCGCGCCTCAGCCGCCATGAGCTCATCAGCGACTCTGGACATCGTCAGCTGCTGGGCTTCTCCAGCCCCGAGGGCTAGAGCGCGCTTCTCGGCAGCCCCCGCGGCCTCGACCTTTCTGGCCAGCAAGCGGAGCTCCGACGGCGCTCGCATCTCTGAGGCCGCGGCGGGCTGTCTTTCCTCAGACTGCGCCACGGCGCGAATCATCGCGATGCGGTCGTTCACGGCATGGGCGCGAGCGGCTGCGCGCGCTTGGACTCCGGCCCTCAAAACCTGGTATCTCATGTGAGTCGTCTCCCGGCCCCTCTCCTAGCCCCCCGCCTTCTCTCCTCGGCCTGCTCGCGCGCGAGGCTACGCGGCGCCGCGCAGACGAGCGCGGGCGGCGGGGGGGAGTCGGGGCAGGGGGGCGCCGAGTTGCAACGGCGGCAACTGACCGAACGCGCACGACAGACCGCCTCCTTACACTGTCGTCGATTCCCCAGTCAGCAGTGTTCATGGAACGCCGGGGCCTCTGTTGGGCCGTGACTCGTTGATGCGGAAGCTCAACGCGATGGAGCGCGCCGTGCGAGCGGAGGACGACGACGCGCTCGACGGGGCCCTCGAGGCCCCACGGCGGTCGGACCCCGCGCCCCATGGTCCGCGGAGAGCGAGCGCGGGGAATGGGGGCCCTCGCTGCGCTGCGGTTCAAGAGCCCCGCGCGCGAAGTCATCTGCGGACTGATTGGCAGGGGGGCGACCCGGGAGCGCAGCCCCCGGGGTCACCCCCTGGTTCGAGCACCTGGCTCTCCTCTGGCATCCCCTCCGTCTTGGTTTGCTTCGCGAGCGGGGATATCACCGACGAGCTGATTGCCTCCCGCGGCTGCTTCGCCGCGGGCGCCCTCAATCCGGCTGCTGCTGGGCGGCCGCAGGCGCGCCGGTCATCGCATCCGCCACTTCCCCGCGCAAGTCCTGCCGCGATGCTTCTGCGACGCAATCGTCCAAATGTACCGACGTCGTCGACAGCTCGGCGACTACAATGGGTGCGGTTTGCGAAGGGTGCGGTTGCCTCCCGTCATATCTGCCCCTCCCGCCCCCGGGAAACGAATGACACTGTCACTCCATGCGGCCGAATTTACATGACACTGTCGCTCTCTCTAATACAATGGAGCACACATCAAAGATGACAATGTCGCTCGAAACGACGACAATTATGACATTGTCTCTCACAGAGGCCCCGGAAAGGACGCCACAAATCAACTCGCAAACCGCACCCTGGCGTAACCGCACCCGTTGTAGTCGCCGAACAGCTCCTCCGCCGATAGCACGGGTGACCCGGGGCCACAAGCCTCGGAATCCCCCCCGGATGATACTCATCAGCCGTTCCCCGGTCCAGGCGGGGAGTCGACTTGACAGATCCCGCTTCTTCCGACGAGACGGACGCGCTGTATTTGTCATGCCGTTATCCGAATCGGCGGATATCAATGACGTAGGCTTGATGGGCGCCGGGCGGCAATGATTGCTCGTCCAAGTTGCTCGACACATACCATTTGGCGATTCCCTCCGCCTTGTTTGCGTCCGCTCGTGGCGTGTCGCGACGACCAAAGCGTCCCCCCGCCAGCATATCTCCGGACGACAGCAGGCAAATATTGCTGAAATTTTGTGAATGGACTCGGGCTCGAAGACGATCTTTTACATTCCTTTAAAGCCGTAGCAGTGTTTTTCGCTACTTGGCACATCCACCTTCGAGGCGACAAGCGCGTCTTCGTGATATCGTGGTGGAATTTTCGGTATATTGATCTTGTTGATAGGCTTCTGCCATCAATGTTCACGGTCTTGTAGTCATCGTTGCACGTTCCGCCTGGTAGGGTGTCCATTAAGCTGATGTGCGAGGGTATGTGTATACGGTAACATTGGGGCGCCCGGCCCGGGCATGAAGTTGTGCGTGTTCCCCTACTGGGGGATTTTCAGCGAAAAAAGGAAATACTCAAATAATACTCCAAAAATGCTCCAACATTGTCATTAAAATAGTCCCCAGACTATTTGTGAGGCCTATGTTTGAATTGTCCTCCTGTAGAGGGACACGCCCGACCTAAGGGCAGGGGGAGGGCACGCGTGCGGACCTCTGGCCACGATGCCAACGTCGCCGGTGCCGCCCTTACCTGCGCAACAGGATACCGCGGCGGCAGCGGCAGGGCACACGAAGGGAGTGCAGCTAAATGACTGGAGGAGGGGATGAAGAGGAGGAGGAGGAGGAGGAAGAGAGAGGAGGAGGAGGAGGAGGAGGAGGAGGAGGAGGAGGAGGAGGAGGAGGAGGAGGAGGAGGAGGAGGGGCAGCCAGCAGGGGCGCCCCCGATCGCCGCCGCCCTCCCCTCTCCCCCAAACCTCCCCCCGCCCCTCCATCCCTCCATGCGTCCTTCCCTCCCTGCCTCCCTCCACCCCTCCACCCCGGCCTCGTTCCCTCCACCTCTCGCTCCCCCCTCGCCGTCCCCCCTCCCTCCCTCCCCCCCCCCCTCCCTGCCCTCCATGCCCCATCCCTCCCCCCGGCCGCGCGGCCTGCCGCCGGCGGAGCTCGTGGCCGCCGCCGACGCGGCTGCGGCGTGGGCGGCCGAGTGGTCCTGCCCACGCGGCGGGGGAGGGGGGCGTTCCGAGACGCGCAACTCGGGCGGGGTCACGAGCGGCGAGCACATCCGCACCTCCCTCGCGGCCTGGACTCCGGGGCGCGGCCCCGCGGGTGCGCGGTCGTACGGATGCAGTCCGCGCGGGGCATCCGCGAAACAACGCCCCGTGTCCGCGGGGTCGCGGCTCAAGGGCCTGGCCCGCGAGGCCGCGGAAGCGGAAGTGCTTGTGGCCCACGGCGGGGGGCGCGCCCCCGTGGGCGGAAGGGCTTCTGGCTTGCGAGAAACTTCAGCACACTCGGTATCAAACGTGTCATAGCTGTTCTCTGGCTCTGTGTCTGGGTCCCTCGAGTGTTGTTGTGCTCTCTCTATGTCCAGGGTCCTCGAAAGATCGAAGCCGAGGCAGCGCCGGGCAATCCGAATGTTGAGGCGTGCACGCTTCTCCGCAGCCAAGTCTGACGAGTGACGCTGGGTCGCGAAATGCATCACACTCGCTTCAGTACAACTCTGTGCCCCAGGTTTGCTTGAAACAGCTGTCTTTGGCCCAAGGTGTCTCCAACTTTCCGCTCCATCTTGGAGCCCCTGGGGCCCTCTGGGCCTCGCGAAGGGTGCTCTGGAGGCCGCGGGGGGCCTTTGAGTTCCTGGTGACACCTTGGGCAAGGGGCACTTCTAGCAACACCTGGCCCGTGGGCGGAAGGGTCTTCAGCTAGGGCTCGGCGAGCGCATGCCGCACGGGCGCAGGAAGGAACGGATCGAGGAATCGATGCAGCGAGCACCAAGGGGGGGGAGGAAGGGCCAGCGGCGGCGGCGGCGGAATGGGTGGGGAGGGGGGGGAAGGGGAGAGGAGGACTCTCCGGCGGCGGAAGGAGGGCGGGGGAGGGAATGGGGAAAGCAAAGAGGGGGGGGGAAGGGAAGGGAGGGGGGAGGAGCAGGGGGAGCAGGATGGAGAGGAAGAGGAGGGGGAGGAGGAGGAAGAAGAATAATAATAAGAAAAATAAATATAAAAATCAACTTAATAATAATAAGAATCAGACTACACACATATATATATATATATATATATATATATATGTATTATGTTCATATGTATATATCAATAATAAGAATAGTCATACGATGAATAATAATGATAAGAAGAAGAAAAAGAAGGGGAACAGCAGGACTTCCAAAGGGCCCCCCAAAGGCACCAAACATGCCTCCACGAGACCCACAGAGGCCTCCGAAGAAAGCCAGGGGACCTCTTAGAGGACTCTTGTCCACGACACAGCCTTGGTGGCGGGATGGGCCGAAGGCCAGTATACCCGTGCAACCTTTTGTGTACAAAAGGGTGTTCGGCCCCTCCACTGGCCCAACCCGCCGGCCTTCTGGAAAAACATCATGTCAGCACAAAATCAACACAACCTGCCCTCAACATTGCCAACGTAGCCTGTAGCCTCCAAGAAGGTCCAAGATGGTCCAACATGGCCTCCAAGACGACCGACGAGGCCACACGAGACCTTTTCAGTTCGTCCAAGATCACTCCAAGATGGCTCCAAAGGCAACTCAGGACGGCACAAGAGACCTCCAAGAGGCTCTCCAGGCGGGCCCCGAAGAAACCAGAACCGATGGTTTCCACAACAATTATCGAAGTGTTTCTCCGCGATCTCGCATATCCTGGCTTCTGGTAGCCGAAGACGGCCTAGGGAATCTCAAAGATAGCGCCAAGACGACAAAATAATCTCCCAAGAGAGCCCCAAGACAAGGCCAGGAGGCTCCCCAAACGGCCCTAAGACAGCCCGATGACAGCCCAAGAAGACCATGGCTACCGCTGTGGCTCCCTCAGTCGGTATGAGAAAAGGAGAGTTCGTCTAACACCCGTGCTCGTCACAATGCATATGCCATGTAGCACGACTCGTACCACTGGCACTGCCACTGCCCCACTAATTACCATCACCACTACAACCTTTGCAGTCGGACTTGATTGGCGAGGACACGCGAGAGGACACAAGACCCTTCCGAGGGCCACGTTGCCAAAGAAATGCAGGAGGCACGGGTCGCGAGACACAGGGCACAAAAGTATACCCTTGATTTGGCAAGGTCGGCCTACCAATCCGGGCCGACTGTACTGCTGTCACCACCCATGCTGCTACCAGTACCACAACCACTACAGTCAACCCGTATAGTAAGGATGCGCGGTAAGGATGCAAGGGCCTTGGAAGGCGACGTTGACTTTTTTCGAGCGAGGTTGGCCAGCGAAAGTCACTAAGGATGGGTCGAAGGGGCACGGATGCAAGGGCACCCTTGGCAAAGTTGCCCATCCTTCCTGTGCGGGTTGACTGTACTATTGCTGCGCACGGTGAGCAAGAGTTCCAACGCCTCGAGGACGCCGCAGGAGGGAGCCCGGCCACATGGTTAGGGGCAGGTCCGCTCTGCGGGAGAGGACTCCCAGCCGCGCAGCCATAAATGCGGGAGAGCGGCAGCGGTCGCGCCTGCTCGGAAGGGAAGGCCGCGCCAGCCGACGAGAAGCGCTGAGCACGGCGACCGCCCCTGGCAGCGGTCGAGACTGCTCGGCACCGAAGGCCACGTCAGCCGACGAGAAGTGCTGAGCACGGCGACCGCCCCTGGCAGCGGTCGAGACTGCTCGGCAACGCCGCGAAGGACGAGGCCAATGCGCTTTTCTGTCGGCGCACCAAAGGGGCAAAAGTGAAGGGGCCCTGGGACACACAAAGAATTACACACAAACAAAAAGATTCCCCGTATCTTCCCATATCTTCTGTTTTTTTTTGTTTCCCCCCCCACACACTTCCCATATTGCCCCACATCTTCTGGAGAATCGACGATGCAGTGTGTCTGTGTGGCTTCTCCCTCCTGACTGCCGGCGCACCAAAGGGGGCCAAAAGGGCCACCGACCCAGCGCCGCGGGCAGGCGCCGACGGGCGCCCTTGGCCATCGCTCGGACGTCCATTCCCTGTGTTTTTTTGGTTTCGTGCGTGGTTTTTTCGCCAAATGATCAAGGATGCTCCTCGATGGTCGTCGCCGAAGAAAAAATGCACACGTCCGAGCGATGCCAGGCCACCCTCCCCCTCAGAAATCGTGGGGGGTATGGGGTAGGGCTCGCATGTGGCCCCCCTAACGACGCCACCGACGCCTCGCGGGAAGAGCGCCGCGGCGGCCGACGGACCGCGGTGTGTCGCTCACCGCGGCGTGCAACGAACAACAGCACGGCCGTCGCGCCCTGACCGCCTTGGCGGCGGGCGGCGGGGCGAAGCCGCCCCACTGCGCGGGTCGATCCCGCCTGCCCACCCACCTTGGAAGGACTTGGTCCGAGACGCACCGGCCCAGGTCAATGCAAATCCGGATCGGTCAGGCGTTGCAGGATCTTGCAAGACCCTGCAGGCTATGCAGGATCCTGCAAAATCCGGCGCTCTGGCTGACCCCCGTCTGCATTGACCCCCGCCTCTTGAGCTCCGACTTGGCGCGACGCTGCGATCACCAGCCAGGTCGGAGGGCAGCCTTCGGGCATCCTCTCGGGCACGAGACCCCGAGGGGGAAGGAAGGAACGGAAGGAACGCGCCGAGTGCGCCGGCCGGTCGGCCAGCAGGCCCGTTGGGGGCAGTGGGGGTGGGCCGGGATCCGCTTATATTGGAGGGCGCGCCGCTGGATGACCCCAAACGGCGGAGGGGGGGGACCCCGTAAAAGCGCGAGAACGCCCTATAGGTCCGTTCCCGTTCCCGTTCCCGTTCCCGTTCCCGTTCCCGCTCCCGCTCCCGTTCCCGCTCCCGTTCCCGTTCCCGTTCCCGTTCCCGTTCCGTTCCCGCCCGGTCGCGTGCCCGTCTACCCCCCCTGCGCCTTCAAGCCGACCCAAGATACGCGAACGGGAACAGGAACGGCAAGCCTCCCACGGCCTCCCCTACTACTACTACTACTACTACTACTACTACTACTACTACTACTACTACTACTACTACTACTACTACTACTACTACTACTACTACTACTACTACTACTACTACTACTACTACTACTACTACTACTACTACTACTACTACTACTACTACTACTACTACTACTACTACTACTACTACTACTACTACTACTACTACTACTACTACTACTACTACTACTACTACTACTACTACTACTACGACTACTACTACTACTACTACTACTACTACTACTACTACTACTACTACTACTACTACTACTACTACTACTACTACTACTACTACTACTACTACTACTACTACTACTACTACTACTACTACTACTACTACTACTACTACTACTACTACACTACTACTACTACTACACTACTACTACTACTACGACTACTACTACTACTACTACTACTACTACGACTACTACTACTACTACTACTCTCCTACTACTACTCCAACACTACTACTACTACTACTACTACTACGACGACGACTACGACTACGACATCTAACAGTACTACTACGTCTACTCCTACTACTACTACTCCTACTACTACTGCTACTACTATTGCTACTACTACTACTACTACTACTACTACTACTGCTACTACTACTACTACTACTGTTACTACGACCACGACCACGACGACCACGACGGGACGACGACGACGACGACGACGACGACGACGACGACGACGACGACGACGACGACGACGACGACGGGAACGGGAACGGGAACGGAACGGGAACGGGAACGGGAACGGGAACGGACCCCTGGGGCGTTCTCTTTTTTTCACGGGGGACCCCCCCTTTCCCCCGATCCGTCGTCGGGGACCCCCCCCTCCCCCCCTGTCCCGATCCGTCGTAAAGAACCCCCCCGCTCCCCCCCTTTCCTGGTCCATCGTCGGGGACCCCCCCCCTCCCCCACTTTCAGAAGGGAAGGGGGTCCGACCCCCCTCCCCCTTTGGCCGCCAAATTCGACCCCCCCCTCCCCTCCTTTCGCCACGGCGCCCCCGGTCTCCGGAACCCGACCCCTACCACCCCTAACACTAATCCAAACCCAAACCCTAGCCTCAAACAGTC